GGCCTCTAGTTAAGGGAAAACAGTGGCAATTAATTGAAACGTGAACATGTTATCCTTCAAATACAAGTCGATGCTAACAATTAACGAAATTAATATTTATGTACAGTGTCTCGCAGAAAAATGTTTACACATTTTAATAATCTTAAACTTATTTTTTAATATAATTTAATTATTTAAAAGGTGTAAACAATTTACAATTATTGATTTTTGTTTTTTTACTGCATCGCGTTATACAACGTTGTCGTTAGAAAACTTATATTTCAAGATAAGTCCATGCCGTTTAGGACGATAATCTTTACCAAAGAGTATGGCATTGCAAGGACTATAAAGAATAATTTATAGAAAATGCAAAAATAGACGTCAGATTGAGAACTTGGAGTCAAAAGTAAACAAAAAATGCAACTTGTAATATTTTTTGTTTATTTTTGAAATAATAAATTTTTATAAACAGCAAGTTAAGGGTTATTTAAAATATGTATAAATTTTTATTCTGGGACACCGTGTACAATAATCAGAACGACAGTCAAAAATGAACACTTTTACTTAGACGGCCACTTCTTCATATCTAAATTCAGCCAATAGCATAATAAGAAACAATACTGTGCACCTCATGTGAGTTATAACATTCTGAGAAATATTTTCACTCTGCCCTTGGCTGGCGACAGGAAGTCGAAACCTTATGAGTAACTAGCAAACATTTAGACAGATACATTTCGCACTCTGGGAGTTAATTGGCCGTTGTCTTCAACTCGGTCTTTCATAAGAGGTACTAGAGTAGGTGTCCTGCCCGGATTCTTTACAGTGAGCTCGGACCGTTTCGTGTTCAATGGATCCCCGACTGTTCATCAAAAGATGTATAGGCCCCACATATACTGAAAGGCTTTTCTCAACTAGCTCTGTTTACATGCACTTTCGAACGGACCATGCTACACGACGGAGTGCAGAACAAGGAACAGAGCGCGCATGTAGAAAACACCTTTTTGTGACTTAACCCGAACAATCCAATCAACGGCTTATAAAATATGTTTTTCAATTTTAATTTATCAGTGAAATTTAAGGATAGTTAAATGAGAGCACATTTCACGTTCGGTTGAAATCGCTCGTGGGTCCGCTTAAATGCACACAAAGCCGCTCCTCCGTATTTTAGGCTGCTAATTTTTAGGTGGAGCATGTCAGGGAACAAATAAGTTTGCAAAAGTCCTTTTGGGGCCCCAGTAGATACCCTCACCTCACATTCTCATAAAATATTATTTTGAAAATCATCGAAGGAAAATATTTCGCCTCCTGAAGAATTATCTTCGAAGAAGTACTTTTGTAACGGATTTGGTACAGGATATGTACCCCTACAGTGGACTATTAGTAAAATCCATTTAAATTCATAAGTTCACCGACTGAAAATGTTTGAAATTGAGGGGAAAATTTATTTTATTGTTGTACTTAGGTGAGATTAAACGGATGTCTGCTTATAAGCACCCCCTAAACTGATATGTAAGAAGTTTTGGATTTTATTTTAGATAAATGTCTATTACGACGCGAC